TTTTTCTTGATTTATTGTAGAGATGAGGTCTCACCAGGTTGCCCAGGCTGGTCTCGAACCCATAGGCTCAGGCAATCCTCTCACCTTGGCCTCCCAAGGTGCTGCAATTATAAGTGTGATCCATGTATTTGTGGATTTATTAAATGATGCAAGATATTTCACTAGTCCAAAAAGATTAGATGGTCCCTAATGGTATTTAGGCCAGGAGTTTTTTCTGACACTACACTTAAAAATCATGGCATCTTGGCCGGGCTCAGTGGCTCAGCCTGTAATCCCAGCACTTTGGGAGGCCGAGGTGAGTAGATTGCCTGAGCCCGCGGGTTCGAGATCCACCTGGGCAACTTGGCGAGACCTCATCTCTACAATAAATCAAAAATTAGTCGGGTGTGGTAGCATGTGCCTATAGTTCCAGCTACTTGGAAAGCTAAGGCGGAAGGATTGCCAGAGCCCAACAGGTCAAGGCTGCGGTGACCAGGAGTGGCCACTGCACTCCAGTCTAGTGACAGAGTGAGACTTCAACTCAAAAAAAAAAAAAAAAATCATGGCATCTTTTATTATTTATAAATGGTTGTGGACACTGCTTTATTCACAGATGTGAAGAATGAGCTGATAGGTAGCTTTTTGAAGGATCAAGAATCAACTTTTTGTTTTGAGGGAGCAACGTTATGCAGTGATATGGATACATGTGATTGAGAGTGATTAGCCTCACTTCTGGAAAGGGTTTTGGGTTTTTGTTTTGTTTTGTTTTGTTTTTTTGAGTTGGAGTCTCACTCTGTCACCCAGACTGGAGTGCAGTGGCCGCTCCCGGCCACTGCAGCCTCGACCTGCTGGGCTCCAGCGATCCTTCCGCCTCAGCTTTCCGAGTAGCCGGAATTACAGGCATGTGCTATCACGCCCGGCTGATTTTTTGATTTATTGTAGAGATGAGGTCTCGCCACGTTGCCCAGGCGGGTCTCGAACACACAGGCTCAAGCAATCCACTCACCTCAGCCTCCCAAAGGCGCGGGATTACAGGCTGAGCCACCGAGCCCGGCTGGGTTTTGTAATTTTAAAGATATAATATTAAGACCAATGCCTCCTACTCTCTTGTAGGAAGCAGGACTCAATCTGTCCATCCCTTCAGGAGTAGTAGGCCTGTTTGATGTGATGTTTTGTGGCACCAGTTTTCTGCAAACAGCATGTCCAAGACTGTTGAGATCCTGACCTCTCCATGAGCTTGATGTGTGAGCTGGGTGTGTTCACCATCTGCCCTTTTTTGTGAGGTGGAACTGGCTTGCCACATGTGGCTAGACAGCATTTGTTAGTGTTAACAACCAAAAAGCAATTGCTCAGTCAGGATTTTTTCCACCATAATCTGAGCTCATGGAGATGAACCAAACAATCTTGTGGTACATGCCCTTTTCCTTTGTTTTCATGTATCACTGTATTTAAGGAAGACTACACAACATGATGTGAATAACAAAAATGCTGCTAGGCATGGTCAAAATATGTACTAATCACATTCATATGTAGGACATAAAACATTTTCAGAGCACTTTGTCATACATTATCTTTTCATCTTCCCAGTGGCCTTGTGAGGTAAGGATCACATCCATTTACAGATAAGTAAGATAGTTGTACATATAGTGTTCTGTTCTTTTCTGTAGCAAAAAGGGAAACCTTTACTCTTCGCTGACAGTTTGATTGATGTGTTTTATTTCCAAAGAAACTTGACTCTTAATTTATTCAATAAGATGTAAACCATGAAATTTTCACCATCTGGAATGCTACAGTTGGAGATAATTAAGATAAAATATTAGAAATTTTACTAAGAGAAAAGGATGTTAAGTTGTGCATTGGATCTCTTTTTTCAGTGAATGAATTGTGGACTGAAAAGCAGATGACATCTTCCCCATTGTAAGATGGAGAAGGGAGTTTGGTGTGCAAAATAGTGGGGACCTATCAGGTTTTTAATAGCAAGTTGGGTTATACAGGCCATTAGACAGTACAGATTACTGCTCTTATATTAGTTTCATCAGTAGTCAAAAGTTTCATTCATTCATTCAAATATATTGAGTCCCAGATGTACACCAGGTCCTGAGCTAGATGCTAGGAAAACCCTCTGAGGAGAGGGCAGTGTGCCAGTGAACCCATAAATTAAGTTATTGTTACAATTTATGGTAAGTGCTTTGAAGGATAGGCTCCTTTGTTTTCTTCCTTTTCTGAAACTTTAAAAATTAATTTAAAGAGGCTGGGCGTGGTGGCTCAAGCCTGTAATCCCAGCACTTTGGAAGGCCAAGGCGACAGGATTGCCTGAAATCAGGGGTTTGAGACCAGTCTGGGCAACTTGGCAAGAGCTTGTTTCTACAGTAAATTAAAAAATTTGCTGGGCGTAGTGGCATGTGCCTGTAGTTCCAGCTGCTTAGAAGTGCCACTGCACTTCATCCTGGGCGACAGAGTGAGACCCTAACTAAAAAAACAAAACAATTAATTTAAAGAAAGAATGGAAGATTTTAATGTTTATAAGAGCTGTTAGCCAGGCTCAGTGGCTCAGCCTGTAATCCCGCGCCTTTGGGAGGCTGAGGTGAGTGGATTGCCTGAGCCCACGGGTTCAAGACCCGCCTGGGCAGGCAAGACCTCATCTCTACAATAAATAAAAAAAAAATTAGCCAGGCATGGTAGCGTGCGCCTGTAATTCTGGCTACTTGGAAGGCTGAGGTGGAAGGATCGCCGGAGCCCAGTGGGTCGAGGCTGCAGTGGCCAGGAGCGGCCACTGCGCTCCAGTCGGGGCGACAGAGTGAGACTCCAACTCAAAAAAAAAAAAGAGCTGTTCATCAGTGTATGAACCACATTTTTCCAGATTGGACATTTCTACCTCTTTCTCTGGTTCTTTAGACACAATAGTACCTAACAAGCCCATTTCCTGAGGACTCTCTGAGGCAGTTCAACTTATGGGAAGGGGCCTCTGACCAGTCTTGTCCTGAGGCTAGTGAGCCCTATTTTCGTAGTCGAGACTTTAAGAGGACACCCAGGAGTGAGCTGAGATGACTGTTTTTGTCTTTGCTTTTCTCTCTTCTCCTCCCCAATGCTCATGATATCTTTTGAGCTATTTTTCAAGATTGTGGTTTAAATATTTAGGCCACACTTAAAGTTCTAGTTTAACCAGAGTTAGTTCTAGTTAAGCCAGCCCATAGTATTCTATTCGCATTATTCCCAAAGTGTGCCAAGCTGACTTTCCACATTGTTGATGCAAAGCCATAGATGAACATTTTTGTGCAGTGTGACCCTTTTTGTCTGCACAGTCTTGTTGCCCAGGAGGGGCTGGCTAACTGGCTAACAGGTGAAGTATAAGGCAGTAGTGGAAAACGACACCATGCACAAGGCCATATCACTGGGATGGCAGGTGCAGATAGGTGTGGACTGGAACAGGGAGTAGCAGGTAGTGGGTGAGCTGTGCACCAGGCAGTGGTTCAGAGCCTCCTCTCCAGAGATTATCGTCAATGTTGCCATCTCATGATAATTCAAGACCTAGTAGCAGGTTGGAAAATGGGAACCAGAAGAGAAAGAACAAGAGTCCGAAGCCAGTGCAATGAGCTGCTGTCCAACCAGAACACTAGAGGTGTAAGATTACTTTTTTTTTTTGAGTTAGAGTCTCACTCTGTCGCTCAGGCTAGAGAACAGTGGCACACTCATGGCCACCCCAGCATCAACCTGCTATACTCCGGCGATCCTTCCACTTCAGCCTTTTACATAGCCGGAACTGCAGGCACGCGCTACCACATCTGCCTGGCTAATTTTTGATTTATTGTAGAGTCGAGGTCTCGCCAAGTTGCCTGGGCTGGTCTTGAACCCTTGGGCTCAGACAGTCCACTTGCCTCGGCCTCCCAAAGTGCCTGGGCTTACAGGCTGAGCCACTGAGCCTGGCTGAAGATGACATTTAAATAGCTCAAGAGCACCACAAATTACATACAGGTCACATACAAGCCAGTGGGATAGTTCTGTGGGGTTTTTAATTATAAAAAGGTAGGAAGACAGTATTCCTTCCTTTTCTCCTTAGGTCTGGTCATGTATATGCTAAACTTAGTTTGTCTCCCTGGCTTAAAATTATAATTAGATGTAGCCAGAAGGAGCCCCAAAAAAGGTCATTTAGTAAACTTTTTACTTGGCGACTGAGAAACTGAGCCCCAGGGGCTGGAGTGACCTGGGCAGTGATGAAGCTGATGTTCTAGTCTCCTGAAGTTATGTCCTGTGCCTTCTGCTATGACAACCAGGACCCAAACTGGAGATGGCTTGAAAAGGATTATTCAGTCCATTAAGAGCCTGGGGAAATAAAGTTTTTGAGGGAAAGTTCAAGAAACGACAACACTTTGTAGTTAAAAGCTTATGGTACTCATTTACTAATAGATTATCTAGTGTACAGTGTGTGGGGTGGTGGATATGAGTGGGAGTGGCTTTGGGGCTTATCCTAGCATGTCAGTTAGCATTTGTGTAACCTGTAACCTTCTGTACACCTCAAGAGTAGCGCCTTGTCTATACATACTCTGCAGAATTTTTGTGAGAATTGCAGCAGATAGTGCATATAAAATGTATAAATATTGGCACATAGTGAGCATTCAACAAGACTTAGCTGATATTACTACTGTTACTATTATTTTGTTAACTACATACAGTGTGTTTTCTTTAAGAACAGGAGCACCTACAGTTGATTGTGACAGTGGAGCATGGAACTGGAGGGCAGGTTCTCACACTTTAATAAGGCTGGGACTCACTGAGAGCTTGGTGACAATGCAGACTCTGAGTCAGGAGGTCTTGTGGGGCCACACTTCAAGCAGTGGTGGCTCACAGGGCCTACAAAGCATCTAATGCAAGCTGGCAGGAATGTGTTCTGTGGATGTTAGTGTAAGGCTGGGTAATCAAGGAGGCTGTGGGAGGTCCCTGCCTAGGAGGGTGGCTTAGTTTTTAGTAACATTTATTGGGAATTTTTTTAGTGTAGTCAAGAATAAAAGAAAACACAAAAATGCCATCATCCCAGGAGCCAGTACATCTGGCTAAAAAACACACACAGTACAGAAGGTAGGCACCTCTGCTGAGCCCCTGCTGCCGTCCTTTGCTGTGGGTCCTGCTCCCCGGGGCATCTTCCCAGGAGATGTGTCAGTGCAGCTGTCATTGTGCATACACTCAGATCCACACAAGCTCTTAGGCGGAATGTTCCTCATGTTCTGGGGATGTGGTTTCTGACTTGAAGATGGTTTCTCAGTGACTGGCCTGAGTGCTGGGAGAACTCTGGTTTCTGCAAGAGCTTTCCTGAACAGCCCTCTGTCTGCTTCTGCAAATATTCTCGGATTATTTCCAGGGTTCTTGTTCTTCTCTGCTGGCTTCAGACCCCCTTCCTGGGTTCTACAGGTGTTGCTGAGGAAAGCTGGATTGTTGTGTTAGGGCCAAGTGTAAAATCGGAGTTAAATATAAATCTTTTGAAAATAATGTTTTTAGCCGGGCTTGATGGCTCAGCCTGTAATCCCGCGCCTTGGGAGGCTGAGGTGAGTGAATTGCCTGAGCCCGCGGATTCAAGACCCACCTGGGCAACTTGGCAAGACCTCATCTATACAATAAATAAAAAAAAATTAACTAGGCGTGGTAGCGCGTACCTGTAGTTCCAGCTACTTGGAAGGCTGAGGTGGAAGGATCGCCGGAGCCCAGCAGGTCGAGGCTGCGGTGACCGGGAGTGGGCCGCTGCACTCCAGTCTGGGCGACAGAGTGAGACTCCAACTCAAAAAAAAAAAGAGAAAGAAAAGAATGTTTTTCTCTTGAAGGAAAAAAACCCAAGTAAGTCATTTGAGATATTACATTTAGGATATTTTAGTCTATGATTTAAGTTCATTAGAAGTTCATGGTATTCCTCTACCTGTACAATAAGCTACAAGTAACAATAACCATTGTTTAGTACATACTCTTTCTGTGAGATATGGTCTCAATCAAACCCTGCAGTAACCCCGTGTGGTGGGCAGTGAGAACCTCCATTTTATAGGGAGGACACTTTAGGCTCAGAGAGGTTAAGACCACACAGCTGGTAAGTAGTAGTCTTAGGATTTGAATCCATGTCTGTTTGACCCCCACCCTGAGATCTTCTTTCTTGTTTTCTTGGAGATGGGGGTGTCACTGTGTTGTTCAGGCTGGTCTTGAACTCCTGGGCTTAAGTGATCCTCCCACGTCAGTCTTCTATAGCTTCTATAGGCGTGAGCCACTGTGCCCAACTTGAGGTTTTCTAACATGGGACGTTTTTGGTTGTTAAAATTCTGTAAAATACATTAATAATGAGAGAAATTGGGCCAAGTTCATTAAGGACTAATTGCTTTCCTTACTACTGGGCTGCACATTTAATCACTGAGAAGCCTTCAAATCTGTACCAACTATGCAGAACAGTTCATTTTACACTGTTGTCATATGCAAGTTGTTTGTTGAATTTTGTAGAATTCTTGTCCTGCTGTGTGATGACAATAGTTCACTTACATGAAGAGCTTATGAAGAGTGGTTTTGTTTTCTGCCATCCTGGCTCTTGCTCATTGCTGCAGAGACATCAGTAGTTGTTTCTGCTGGGTATGTGGGAATCACAGTGTCAACTTCTGATTAATTGAGTTTTTGTTGTTGTTTCCTTCCTCGTAGAGACTTAAAACCTGAGAATATTCTCCTCGATGACCATGGTAAGTAATCAAGCCTTTCATGTCTAAAGCATTGTTGGAGGGATACAGAGAGTTAATGTGGACTTAGCAGTTCCATACAGAATGGAAACAACAACAAAAAGAGAAACTTGTTGGTGTGTGTTCTTTAAAAAAATAAACTAGACTGGGCAAGGTGACTCAAGCCTGTAATCCCAGCACTTTGGGAGGCCGAGGTGAGAGGATTGCCTGAGCCCACGGGTTCAAGACCAACCTGGGCAACATGGCGAGACCTCATCTCTACAATAAATAAAGAAATAAATAAATAAAAATTAGCTGGGCGCAGTATCGTGTACCTGTAGCTCCAGCTACTTGGAAGGCTGAGGCCGGTGGTACTCACACCTAGTTCACAGGCAGCTCTGGCAGGAGCTTCTTTTGAGTGACTTTTCTTGACTAAGATGGGTCTTAAAATCTAGTGAAGTGCACATGACAAGGCCATCCATCATGGCTCCTGGAAAGGGGAAGGGAACTGGCATCTGAGGCAGTTCGATACTGGGGTGGCTATGAGCGTGCCACTGCACTCCAATCTAGGTGATGGAGTAAGACTCCAACTCAAAAAAAAGTAAATAGATAGATAAATAAAATATAGATAACATTGTCATTCTCCTGTATTTAGGCAAGAAGCAGAGATGGTCATACATTTTCAGTTAATGACTGAGTTTTAGAAGCATGTTAAAGTAAATTCTCTGGACTTGGTGGCTTACGCTTATAATCCCAGCACTTTGGGAGGCTGAGGTGAGAGGATTGTCTGAGTCCATGGGTTCAAGAGTAGCCTGGGCAACTTGGCAAGACCTCATCTCTGCAATAAATCAAAAAATTAGCTGGCCATGGTGGCGCATACTTGTAGTTCCAGCTACTTGGAAGGCTGAGGCGGAGGGATCGCCTAGCACAGCAGGTTGAGGCTGCATTGGCCGTGAGTGTGCCGCTGCACTCCAGCCTGGGCAACAGAGTGAGACTCCAACTTAAATAAATAAATAAATAAACTCAAAGTATGAACATTTTTTCTGTTTCTTGCTATTGACCCACTTCTTCTTCTTCTTCTTCTTTTTTTTTTTTGAGGCCACCACAGCCTCAATCTGCTGGGCTCATATGATCCTTCCGCCTCAGCCTTCCAAGTAGTTGGAACCACAGGCACGCACCACAATGCCCTGCTGATTTTTTTAGTTATTTTAGAGACGGGGCCTCACCATGTTGCTCAGGCTAGTCTCGAACCCCTGAGCTCAGGCAATCTTCTCGCCTCCCCCTCCCAAAGTGCTGGAATTACAGGCATGAACCACTGGGCCCAGCTAACCCACTTCTTGCTTTATTCCTTTGATTTTCATTTCCATGCCCCTAAACAGTGTCATGCTACCCCTGGTACTGTCCTCTTGTCCCATAGCTTGTGTCACAGAGCAAAGCACAGATGGCTGCTGGGGACCTTGTAATAGTGGACAGAGACTGGCTTTCTGGGCAGCCTCCTTGTCAGCAGCACTCTGCCTTGGTTCCTGTGGTGAACAATTGTATCCAGAATGCAAAGATGGTGGCATGCCAGGGTGACCGGTGGTACTCACACGTAGCTCACAGGCAGCTCAGGCAGGAGCTTCTTTCGAGTGACTTTTCTTGACTAAGAGGGGTCTTAAAGTCTAGTGGAGTGCACATGACAAGGCTATCATGGCTCCTGGAAAGGGAACGGGAACTGGCATCTGAGGCAGAATCCTGAGGGCAGCCTCAGGATATTGGAGTGGTCTTCTTGTAGGTCTCTGCCAAACACTTACATGTTTCTTATCTAATCCGTGCATGAAACCCCCACCCTGTGAGGAAGGAGGGTACCAGAATTCTCATTTTATAGAAAGTAATACCACAATTTGGGAAGTAAACTTGTCCAGGTTGTGTCCATAGCTTCTGACTCTTAGCCTGCAGTTCATTCCTGGTGCCGTGCTGCTAACCAGAGGTGGCATTAAAGTGACTTAAAAGGGGAGGACACACTCTGTATGGTAAGTGGAGCAATATCCTAACTGTGTTGTTGATTGGGACAGAGTAAGGTACAGAGTGTGTATATCATATGCCTCCTTTTGGTAGGGAAGTTAATCATGTATATGTGTATTTGCACATATTTGCATAAGGAAACAGAGGAAGAATCATGAGAAACAACTGGGGGTGAAAACGAGGCGGGGAGCACCTTTTTATGTGTTTTTAGATTTTCCTTTGTGTAGCTCCCTCCTCTCCAGAGCTTTACCCCACAGATGTGAGCAGACCCATCTTTCCCCAATTCTAATCTCTGCCTTCCGAACTTAGCAAGAACACCTGTTTTGTGTAGGTTCCCCTTCCTGTGCCTCCATCTGAAAAGCACTCCCAGGTGGATGCCAGGATGATCACAGGGTCAACTCACTTTCTTCCCTTTTCTTGGGAACCACAGTCCTCTGATGCTGACTGATCATATTTTTCTTTTAATTTTTAAAAATTTAAAAAATAGTTTTTAGGGATGGGGGTCTTTCTATGTTATGCAGGCTAAAGTGCAGTGGCTATTCACAGGCGCACCTATCGCACACTGCAGCCTCAAACTCCAGGGCTAAAATGATTCTCTTACCTCAGCCTCCCAAGTAGCTGAGACTACAGCCTCCCCACTTTGGAGGTATATAGTTCACCTAGTCCATGTGACTTCCGTGGCTCACTGATGCCTTTAAGAGTATGACTTTTGTGATCTGGTATGTTCTTCTGGTTGTAGTCAGCAGCAGCATTGGCCTGCCATGACCTTATTCATCCTACCCTGAAGCAAGAGCCCAGGATCATTTATTGGTAATTGTTCTTTTTTTTTTTTTGAGTTGGAGTCTCACTCTGTCGCCCAGACTGGAGTGCAGTGGCCGCTCCTGGCCACTGCAGCCTCGACCTGCTGGGCTCTGGCGATCCTTCCGCCTCAGTCTTCCAAGTAGCTGGATCTACAGGCGCGCGCTACCATGCCTGGCTAATTTTTTATTTATTGTAGAGATGAGGGCTCGCCAAGTTGCCTAGGTGGGTCTCGAACCTGTGGTCTCAGGCAATCCATTCACCTCAGCTTCCCAAAGGCGCGGGATTACAGGCTGAGCCACCGAGCCTGGCTGGTAATTGTTCTTTATAGACCTGGTCACATTCCAGTTAAGAATAGAAAACTACTTGAAAGGCTGAGGCAGGAAGATCACCTGAAGCCAGCAGTTCAAGTCTAGCCTGGGAAATTTAGCAAGAACACATCTCTTAAAAAAAAAAGAGCTGGGCTTGGTGGCTCAGCCTGTAATACTGCGCTTTGGGAGACTGAGGTGAGTGGATTGCCTGAGCCTGCGGGTTCGAGACCCCCCTGGGCAACTTGGCGAGATCTCATCTCTGCAATAAATCAAAATTCAGCCGGGCGTAGTAGTGCATGCCTGTAATTCCGGCTACTCGGAAGGCTGAGGCTGAAGGATCGCCGGAGCCCAGCAGGTCGAGGCTGCGGTGGCTGGGAGCATGCCACTGCACTCCAGTCTGGGCGACAGAGTGAGACTCCAACTCAAAAAAAAAAAAAAAATTCAACTGGCAATTTAGGTAACAAAGTAAACTGTATCATGCTTATGTTTTCAGTTTTATGAAACGTATATATGCCCCAAAAGAGGCATACATAGTGAGTTATGAAAATTAGTGGCATTTTTATCAGTTACTTAAAAGAAATTTTATATGCCATATCATTTTGTCCATAAAGTATTTATCTCTGAAAGGACACTCTTTTTTTCTAAGCCATAAACACAATACTGTTTTGGCTTTTTTTGAGTCAGAGTCTCACTGTGTCACCCAAACTGGAGTGCAGTGGCACACTCACGGCCCCCTCAGCCTCGACCTGCTGGGTTCAGGCAATCCTTCCACCTTAGCCTTTCAAGTAGCTGGAACTACAAGTCGACACCACCATGCCCAGCTAATTTTTTAATTATTATGTAGAGACAAGTCCTCACCAAGTTGCCCAGGCTAGTCTCAAACCCCTGGGCTCACACAATCCTTTCACCTCCACCTCCCAAAGTACTAGTATTACAGGGAAGAGCCACTACGCCTTGTCCCACAACACTATTATTACATAAAAAATACTCAGATCACAGGGCACAGTGTTCAGTATCTGAGGAATGGACCACATGAAACCCAATCCCCACCACTACACGGTATGTCCATGTCACAAATAAGCATGTGTAGCCACTGAATCTAAAATTTAAAAAAATAAAAATAAATAAAATGGGGAAAAAATATAAAGAATACAATATCTACCTCATAGGGCCATGCAAAAATATTCAAAGATGTCTTAATACCACCTAATATCCTGTTGGCTTGAAATTTCCTGTAATTGTTTCATAAATGTTTTTAGAGTTGTGTAGTGAATATTCAGTGAAGTTCACATTACAAGAGTTCTACTTAAATTATGAATTCATTGCAACAAGTGATTCACATTCTCCAAGCCTGCTTTGTGTAATATGTGGTGACTGGCTGTCCCGAGATACTATGCAACCTTCAAAGCTGCTTCGCCAGATAGAGACCAAGCACCTTGCATTAAAAGACAAACCTTTGGAGTTTTTCAAAAGAAAAAAATGTGAGCATGAAGAACAGAAGCAATTACTGAAGGCCATCACTTTATCAAATGTGTCTGTACTGAGAACATCATTCTTAGTGGCAAGTACATTGCTAAAGATAAGAGCCCTTTACTATTGATGTAGAATTGATCCTGCTGACTGTGAAGGACATTTGATATCTTGTTGAGTCCCTTTTAATCTTATAAATTTCTCCTCTCTGCTTCTTTTTGTCATTTACTTGTTCATGAAACTAGGTGTTGTGGCCCAATTATGTCCCCCCGCAAATTCATATGTTGAAATCCTAATCCCCAGGACCTTAAAATATGACTGTATTTGAAGATTGGGCCTTTGTAGAGGTAATCAAGTTAAAATTAGGTCATTAGGGTAGGCCTACATCCAATATACAGGTGTTCTTATATGAAGAGATTAGGGGCCGGGCTCGGTGGCTCAGCCTGTAATCCCGTGCTTTTGGGAGGCTAAGGTGAGTGGTTTGCCTGAGCCCACGGATTCGAACCCACCTGGTCAGCGAGACCTTATCTCTACAATAAATCAAAAAAATCAGCCAGACGTGGTAGCGCGTGCCTGTAATTCCGGCTACTTGGAAGGCTGAGGCGGAAGGATCACCAGAGCCCAGCAGGTCGAGGCTGCGTTGGCCAGGAGCGGCCACTGCACTCCAGTCTGGGTGACAGAGTGAGACTCCAACTCAAAAAAAAAAAAAGAAGAGATTAGGGCCGGGCTTGATGACTCAGCCTGTAATCCCAGAACTTTGGGAGGCCGAGGCGAGTGGATTGCCTGAACTCATGGGTTCGAGACCAGCCTGGGCAACTTGGTGAAACCTCATCTCTACAATAAATCAAAAATTAGCCGGGTGTGGTAGCACACGCCTGTAGTTCCAGCTACTTGGAAGGCTGAGGCGGAAGGATCGCTGGAGCCCAGCGGGTTGACGCTGGGATGGGGGTGAGTGTGCCACTGCACTCCAGCCTGGGTGATGGAGTAAGACTCCAACTCAAAAAAAAACAAAAAAAAAAACAAAATAAGAAGAGATTAGGGCCAGGTGCAGTGGCTCACACCTATAATCCCAGCACTTTGGGAGGTGGAGGCGAGAGGATTACCTGAGCTTGGGGTTCAAGACCAGCCTGAGCAACATGGTGAGACATTGTCTCTACAATAAATCAAAAAATCAGCCAGGCATGATGGCACACACCTGTAGTTCCAGCTACTTGAAAGGCTGAGGTGGAAGGATCACCTGAGCCCAGCAGGTCGAGACTGAGGTGGCCATGAGTGTGCCACTGCACTCCAGCCTGTGCGACAGAGTGAGACTCAAAAAAAAAAGAATAACAATATTAATATTACATCAATATTATTACTGAAAACAGTATATAATTCCTTTGCAGTTTTTTGGTCATTAGCAAAAGTTATTTGGTTCTATGTTTGTTAAGTCTAATTAATTAAAAATCACTCAGTGTTAGCCGGGCCCGGTGGCTCATGCCTGTAATACCAACTCTTTGGGAGATAGAGGCAACATGATTGCCTGAGCCCATGGGTTCGAGACCAGCCTGTGCAAGATGGCGAGACCTTGTCTCTACAATAAATGAAAAAATTAGTTGGGCATGGTGGCACACACCTGTAGTTCCGGCTACTTGGAAGGCTGAGGCAGATGGATCACCTGAGCCCAGCAGGTTGAGGCTGAGGTGGCTGTGAGCATGCCACTGCCCTCCAGCCTGGGTGACAGAGTGAGACTCCAACTCAAAAAATAAAATAGGCCGGGCTCAGTGGCTCAGCCTGTAATCCCGCGCTTTGGTGAGTGAATTGCCTGAGCCCGTGGGTTCGAAACCCACCTGGGCAACTTGGCGAGACCTCATCTCTACAATAAATAAAAAAAATTAGCCGGGCGTGGTAGTGCACGCCTGTAGTTCCAACTACTTGGAAGACTGAGACGGAAGGATCACCGGAATCCAGCAGGTCGAGGCTGTGGTGGCTGAGAGTGGCCACTGAACTGAGTGAGACTCCAACTCAAAAAAAAAAAATAAACAAAACAACAAAAAATAAAATAAAGTAAAATATTCCCTTTTGTGTGGTTAAGTCATCTGCTTGATACACCGTTAGGTTCATTTTCTGCATTTTGTTTTCAATTTTAATGATCTAATTTTTAAAATTTTATAAGTATGCGAAACAGTTATGTGGTTCCAAAGACAAAACTGCGTATTCAGAGATGTCTACATGCCATCCCTGTCTACTCCCCAACTAATCACTTTAACTCATTTTCATTCTTTCACTTACATACAGTATATGTATTATGCAGTAGATATAATACTTGTTCCCCACTTGTTTCTTCCATAAAGTAATGAGCCACATATATTTCTCTCCAATTTGCTTTTTCACTTCATATTTAATGAACGCTGGTATACAACAGTGCACATCTCCCTTATTTCTGCTGTGGCTGACTGTAGACAAATCTGCTTTATTTGCTTGGCCCTCACTTATAGACATTGGGTTGTTTCCACTCTTTTGCTATTTCATTTAGTATTACAATTAATAGCCCTGTGCACATGTCATTTCCTGTTTTTTCTAATATGTCCTTGTGATAGATTCCTAGAAGTGAGTTAATTCCGATGCAATTTTGTTAGATATTTGCCAAATCCCACCATAAGCTGTGGTCCCTGCTTTCCCACCAGCAGTACATGAGGGCACCTGTTGCCCACAGTCTTACCAGCAGACTGTGTCCTCAAACTCTGTGGTTTTTGTTAGTTTGTTTGATAGGAATTGCTATTTCAGTGTAGTTTAAATTAGTATTTACCAGGTTAAAAATCTGTTTTTAAGGGAAAAATAAGACTGTAAAACATAAAAAATAAGTCACAACATGCCAGTACTCTACTTAAATGTAAAATACATGAGTGCTGATTATTGAAAAGGTATATATGTGTAAGGGGAGGAAACTGAGACACGATAACAAATGGTACAGCTAGGACTCAGACCCAGGCCATCGGCTCCAGAATCTGTGCACTTAGCCCCTCTCTTCATCTGCTTTCCGGAGTAGGAATGCAACAAGGGCATGGTATGGCTTATCACATGCATGCAGTGAAGTCCAAGGTCAGCTTTCCTGTCTAAAGCATCATGTAGACGGTCTTAAAATTATTTCAGTACCTTGAAGGTCATGTTGCATATTTTAAATGTTCAGCAGGTACTTACTGGTTGTTCATTTATGTCTTCAATAAATATTTATTGGCTACCTACTATATGCCAGGTACTGTTTAGAAATTGGGGATAAGTGGTGAACAAGTTGAAGAGGGTGTCCACTTCCAGGGCTAGCTTATCTTTCTACACTCTCAAAGTAACGTTTTCTGTAGTTTATTAGTTTCACAGAAATTCAACAAATTTTAAATCCTCCTGTATACAAGATATTAACACATAAAATAGTACTTTAAGTACCTTAGTTTATCATTTCCTTGTCTCTTACTATTTGTTCTCCAGAGAAAACTTCATATCATTCATGCATAGCTGTCCCTATATATAAGCCTACTGGCACTCTGTCAGAAAGTGCTTATTTTCTATTTTGTGGTTGATAAAATGTTCATTATATTTTTATTTGTGTACCTGGTACTTATATGAAAATAAAATAATAAATACAATATTTGTCTTATCAAATGATTGTCTGTGATCGAAGAGCTTCCTGATTTAGCCAGGCATGAATCTATTTTCCTGCTGTTAATTAAACTGAATGCGCAGTATGGAATTTTATTAAATGTGAAAAAGTTGAATATAACTTCACATTGAAATGTTCCAGAGTATGAAATGCTATTATTTACATTCATGGTTTTTTGGGGGGTGGTTTTTGAGTTGGAGTCTTACTCTGTCGCCCAGACTGGAGTGCAGTGGCACGCTCACGGCCACCGCAGCCTTGACCTGCTGGGCTCAGGCAATCCTTCCACCTCAGCCTTCCATGTAGCTGGAACTACAGGCACAGGCTACCAAGCCCAGCTATTTTTTTAAATTTTATTGTAGAGACAAAGTCTCACCAAGTTGCCCAAGCTGGTCTTGAACCCTCGGGCTCAGACAATCCTCTCGCCTTGGCCTCCCAAAATGCTGGATTACAGACTTGAGCCATCACGCCCAACCTCCATTCATGGGTTTTAAGATTTTTTTCCCCCAATTTTTATTGTTGCTAATGTATCATTACTTCCCCAGTGACCTGTGTAATATATTTGAACACACACAGGACATATCCGGATTTCAGACCTGGGTTTAGCTGTGGAGATCCCAGAAGGACAGACTGTTCGAGGAAGAGTCGGAACACTTGGCTACATGGGTATGTGAAAGACACTTTCAGGGGTCTTTGTCCTTTCTATCTGGATGCCTGAGTATTTTGGAACATAGAGAAATCACAAGACAAATGATCGGGACCTCAGCTTGAACACACTGATTGATGGCATGGTGGTGTTTTGAAGTCACTAAATAGTCGTAGTATTGAAGCTGCAGAGGAGTCCTCTAGTCTGCCCTTATCTTCTTACAGATGAGAGGTGAGGCTCAGAGAGGCGCCGAGTCTCAGGATCACTCGGCTAAGTGAGCATAGACCACGGTCTTCTCTGGTGTCCTCCCTCCTTGCACAGTGGTCTTTCAGACCCTCAAGAAATCATCCCACTCTGGTTATTCCAAAGATTTGTGAGCAGTGCCAGCCCAACCCCTACAGGTGGCCTCCAAGAGCCTCATTGAGTTCTGCAGGAAGACCCTGTGCCTTACCTTTTCTGTTGTCACAGCTCCTGGGGTTTTTGGCTGACTTGGGAATAGATGGCAACATACTTGGAGTACCTTGGCATGACTGCGTGTCTGGAGGGAGCACCTTCAGGAGGCAGGGTCTCCCTAGATCACCTGTTCCCTTCTTACTTACAACCCTGTGGTAATTCAGGTCATCCTATATGAATAATACAAATATTTTTAAAATACCAGCTTTATTGGGATATAATCCATATATCATAAAGCCTAATTAAGTGGATTTTAGTATATTCGCAAAGTTGTGCAACCTCACTACTATCTAATGACAGAACATTGTTATCACCGCAAAAAAGAATCCCTGAACCTATTAACAGTCGCTCCCCTTTCCTTACCTCCCACTCCTAGCCCTGGAAACCACTAATTTACTTAGTCTCTATGGATTTATCTATTCTATTTTGTGTAAATGGAATCATACAACATTTGGCCTTTTGTGTCTGGCTTCTTTCATTTTACGTAATGTTTTTAAAGTTCATCCATGTTGTAAAAAACATTAAATGTATAATATATTATTTGGAATTAATTACAAGAAAATTTAAAACCAAAATTTAACTTATTTAAATTTCCTATATTTGTTATGTAGCTCCTGAAGTTATCAATAATGAAAACTATACATTTAGTCCTGATTGGTGGGGACTTGGCTGTCTGATATATGAAATGATTCAGGGACATTCTCCATTCAGAAAATTCAAAGAGAAAGTCAGTCGGGAGGAGGTTGATCGAAGAATCAAGAAGGATACTGAGGAGTATTCTGAGAAGTTTTCAGAGGACGCCAAATCTATCTGCAGGATGGTAGGTTAGGATCTGTAGAGGTTGGGAAATTATACTTCTAACTCACTGTAGTCATTTTCACTGGCAGCTTAAAATAAAAGGAGTCAAAGTGTGAGTCTTTAGGAAGCCCCAGCCACCTACTTTCCAGGCTTTGTACCAGCACTGCAGACCAGCAGTGAGGACACTGAGCTCATGGTACCTCTCAGTACACCTGCCTCCTTCCCGATGCTCCTGCCAGTGGGATTTCATCTCAGTTCAGACAAAGAGGACAGTAGATAAAGGTTTCCAGATATGATCTGGGAAATGGCTTAAGTGGGTTTCTAACCAATTAGAGCAAAACAGTAAAATTTATTGCTTGCTTTCTCAAAAGATGCTGCTGAAAGGGAGGAGTGGTAGCAAGACTATTATTCAATTTTCAGAAAATAGCTGAACCTCATTTCGTTGACCAGTTTGATGTGAAATGAAACCTAAACTACTCTTTGATGTATTTTGAAATAGTAAGGGTTTTTCTCTGCCCATTTTTGTCCCTTTAACCAACTGCTAGGGATTATAGTCCTGAAGGCACTTTGACCCAGGGCCTGCTGTATGCCCTGTGCTATGCAGACTTTTCTTGATTGTGCTAAGGGCCTCCAGGGCTGACACTGGCATCAGCGTTTCACAGTGAGGAGATGAGCTTCAAGGGATGGAGACCCACTCCACAATCCTGGAATGAGTGGAGAGCAGACAGGTCCCGTCTGCCCTCGGGATGGAACTGTTTCATCACCCCCGGCTGCCCAGACACTGAATCAATGAGGAAAACTTTCTGTTACTTAACTAATATTTATTACTTTTTTTGGCATATTTGTTCCATTTCTTTTCTTTTTTTTGAGTCGGAATCTCACTGTCGCCCAGGCTGGAGTGCAGTGGCACACTCACAACTACCACAGCCTCAACCTTTGGGGCTCAGATGATCCTTTCTTTTCAGCCTTCCAAGTAGCTGGAACGACAGGCACATGCCACCATACCCAGCTAATTTTTTAATTGATTATAAGGTCTCGCCAAGTTGCCCAGGCTGGTCTTGAATCCCTGGGCTTAGGCAATCCTCTTGCCTCCACCTCCGGGGATTACAGGTGTGAGCCACCGTGCCCGGCTCCATTTATTTTTATTCAACAAGGATTTGTTGAGCATCCTGTATGTGCCAGGCACTGCCCTAGGCACAGAGGACAACAGCAAGTAAAACAGAAATCCCTGCCTTCCCTGTGGTAATTGGCAGAAAACAGAACAAATTCAGCAGCTGTGTATGGGCTGTATCAGAGGGTGACCACATTCTGGAGGAGGGAGGGGTGGCTGCATCTGGGGGAGATAGGGGTTGGCCTGCTGGGCAGAGTGCCTGTGACTGCAGCAGCAAGGCCATGGTAGCATGGCAGGTGGCTGGCATCTGAGAGTGAGGGGGCTAGAAGGGGACAGGACAAACAGCAGGAAGCCCAGGCCATGCTGAATGACCTGTCATCATCAGGCCTTGAGTGTTACTTATTCTGATGGCCATGAAGCCATCACAGGATTCTGAGAAGGGTGATGTGATGGGACTTGGGTCACTGTCTGCTGGGAAGAGAATGAGTGGACTGGAAGGAGGGAGGCTTTCAGAGGCTTTGCAGTGATTCAGGTGGGATTGGGTGTGGCTCAGACGTTGGTGGTAGCAGAGCAGGTATGAGAAGTGTCAGAAGACAACTACTGTCAGAGTCTGGTTGGATTGAAGACAGAGCCTGCAGGATTTGCTGTGATGTAGGGAATCATCCAGGCTGTCTCCAAGATGTGGCCTCAGCAGAAACACCAGAGAGAATGAGGGACTCCTGAAGCAAAGTCCCTGCTGTGGGAGGAGGACAGGAAGGGTGTGGGCAGTTCCTCCTGCAGCAGGAGAGGAGGCAAGTCTGTGGCCGCGCAGCTGGAAGAGAGACGAGCGAGGCTTGTTTTCTCGGGTGGTCAGTCTAGCTAGAGTGAAGGTGAGGAGGGAGGGGTGAGGATGGAGGAGGCGTGGAGTACTGGGAAGCAGGGGGTTCCTTGGCAGCATGGAGGACCCATGAGGATTTGAAGGGAGATAGGTGGTCGTGGTCATGCCTGTGTGATGTGCTCCTGCCATGCCCAGGATGGCACAAGCTCAGAGCAAGCAGGGAGCTAGACTGACCTGGCTCTGTGGTTTGGCTAAGCAGGTCTGATGAAGCTAAAGAGAGGCAGAGAACTGGGACTGGAGGATGGGCTGTGGAATCTAAGCTGGTTCCAGAGGGGGACAAGGAAAGGAGCACAGGGAAAGGGCAGATACACTAGATTATAGATAAAGTGCGGTCCGCAGTTTGATGTCAGGGCACCTTTAGGCCTGCAGTAGGAAGACTGGAGGGACATCCAGAGAGGAAGTCTCTTGGAGTGATGGAGGGCCTGCTGGTCAGAAAGTCTAGGGTGTGACCCAGGGAGTGACTGGCTGTTGCTGGGGCTTGGGAGGAGGTACAGAGAGGAGGTCGCAGGACTGAGTGGCCAGGCATAGGTTCCCTACCTGGATGCTGGAGTCAGCAGCAATTATACCTTTGACTGAAGTATATTGGCTTTCATGCACTGGTAGTGGCTGGATAAGAATTGCTTTGGCTTCCCTTTCAAGTGTTTCCATATAGGAAGTGATGAGTGTTGGGCTTCTTACTGAGCCCTGGGGTCAGCACGGCTGTTCTCTCAGGTAGCTCATTCTGCCTGGACATTTGGACCCAGCTATTGTTTATATTCAGTTTGATGGATATTGACTGAGTGTTGCTACACAGGACACTGACAGGGCAGAAGGAATGCAAAAATATGTGTTAGAAATAAAGCCTGCCCCAAGGAGCTCACGGTTTAACATTAGGCCTAAAACAAACATAAAAACTACTGCAGTGAAAAGCAGAATGTGATGGGTGTCATAAATAGGTAGAAACAAGTGTTTAGGGGTCTTCAGGATGAAGAAATCCTGTGGAGCTGGAGGCACCAGGAAAGGTGGTGTCTGGGTGAGGGCATGTGTAAGGAGCATTCGTTTCGAAGTCAGGCCCAGGTGAATCTCAGCTCCTATGACGGAATCATCACTTCAAGCCTCAGATTCTCACTTAGAAAAAGTGAATGAAAGTAACTTCTACCTTATAGGATTGTTGGGAGGATAAAATTAAATAATGCATGTAAAGTGTTTAGTAACACATAATCCTCAATAAACAATTTGTTCTTAAAGAATGGGTTAAATCCCAACAAATGGGTTGGGGGAGAGGCATCTCAAGATGCAGAGTTAGGAGAGAGGAGGGAGTGTGGGACAGTTGCAGGGACAGGTGCTCCACGCTGAGAGGAGTGTGGCCAGGTCACTCAATGGTGTGTACAGCAAGGGAGGCCTGCGAGACAGTCCTCAACCACATGCCTCCTCAATGCCTGTCACCCAGGCTGGGTCTGCCCTGCTCCCAGTGCTCGGTGTGCATTTGCTGGAAGAACGAAACAGGTTTGGCTTAAGGTTAGCGTGTTAGGCTTGTGTAGAGTGGAGAGAAGAGGGAAGAGAAAAGAGAAGAGTTAGTTCGCTTTTTATAGTAATCCAATGGGAGGTTAAAGTAACCTGACATTCGTATACCTTTTCATATCTCTTTGGCATGTCATCTAACTTAATCCTCACAGTGGATTTCCAAGACAGTCCATAGCCTCACAGTTGAAAAAGCAAGTTTGGGCCGAGCACTGTGGCTCACTCCTGTAATCCCAGCACTTTGCAAGGCTGAAGTGGGTGGATCGTTTGATGCCAGAAGTTCGAGACCAGTCTAGGCAACGTAGCGAGATGGAGAAAAGAAAAAGTTAGTTTGGTTTCTGTGATGTCATATAGCATATGACAGCAAGCAGGACTTGAGCCCAGCTTTTGAACCCAGGCTCTTGCTTCTGCCCTGTGCTGCCTGGGTAAGCCATCCTTTTGGGCTGCTCTCACAGAATTGCTTACACTGGGTAATTTATAAATAGCAGAAACTTATTTCTCCTAGTCTGGAGCCTGGAAGTCCAAGGTAAAGGCACCCACTAGCAGATTCAGTGTCTGGTGAGGGCTGCTTTTTCTGCTTCAAAGATGGCACCTTCTCACTGTACCCTCCCATGGCAAAAAGTGAACAAGCTTGCTTGGGCCTCTTTTATAAAGTCACTAATCCCATTCATGGGGGCAAAGCCCTCATGATCTAATCACCTCCTAAAGCCCCTACTTGTTAATACTACTGCATTGGAGATTCGGTTTCAACGCATGAATTCTGGGGAGAACACAAATATTCAGACTATCCTGACCTTTAGCAGGTGTGTGTTCTTAGCAAGCTTCACAATAGAGTTATGGAATCCCTGAGATGTAAAAATTGTATTTGGAATTATACTTAATTTTCAAATATGTTATAAATTAACCAAACAGCTGGGTGCAGTGGTTCACACCTGTAATCCCAACCCTTAAAGAGACTGAGGAGAGAGGACTTTTTTCCCCCAGCACTTTGGGAGGCCAAGGTGGGAGGATCAGAGAGGACTTCTTGAGCCCAGGAGTTCAAGACCAGCCTGGGCAACATAGTGAGACCTTGTTTCTACAAAAAAAAAATTCCAAGAATTATCCAGGCATGGTGACACACACCTATAGTCCCAGCTACTTAGGAGGCTGAGGCAGAAGGATCACCTGAGCCCAGCAGGTCAAGGCTGCTGTGGCTGTGAGTATGCCACTGCACTCCAGCCTGGGCAACAGAGTGAGACTCCAACTCAAAAAAAAAAAAATACAATTTCTATAACTAGGTTTGCTAAACTTTTGCCTTATCTATAAATATAATTTATCATTAAAATGGTGTTTCTGAAATTCCCAGCAGTTTATATTCCCTTTTTAAAAATCCCCTAATGTTTAATGATTAAATTTTTTTTTTAACTTAAGGATTAATTTAGGCAACCTCTTATTTATTAATAGCTCAAAGGTAAACTTTAGCCCCATTCCTTTGTGAAGCATCACATAATTAAAGAGTAAAATTCAAATTAATGCAGTTTGGTTGATACTTTGAAATTTGAGTATTTGCTTAGATGTACATGCTTTCTGCCCCACTAACACTTTGCTTACGATAATGGAGGGGAGTTTTGAGTTTTCATCTTTACCTTAGATGCTTACATGGACTCCATTTCTGCCTCTTGGACAGTTACTCACCAAGAATCCGAATGAGCGGCTGGGCTGCAGGGGTGAGGGAGCAGCTGGAGTGAAACAACACCCTGTGTTCAAGGGCATCAACTTCAGGAGGCTGGAGGCAAACATGTTGGAGCCCCCTTTCTGTCCTGACGTAAGTATGTTGCCAGGACTAGCAGGGTCTCCAGGACATGGATCCGTGCAACACAGTTTTTTTTTTTTTTTTTAAATCAGTAGATACAGAATCACGTGGTGCAGCATGGGTGTAGCTTTGCCTCTGGTTCTTCCTCCCTTCCCCATCATCTCATCCCCCCCAGCCCCTCTCCAGACCTTCCTGGTAGAACTCTGACTCCTGGCCTGGTGTCACTGTCTGTCTTCCTGTGGGTGGAGCTGAGCCACTGCCCTCCTCAGCAACTACAGCACCTTGAGACCTCCTCGGCATGCCCTTCAAGGCCCTGTATGTTACCAGTGTCCCCTTTCTAATCTCAGGGGTGGTTTTCCCTCTTGTCCTTGTGTTCACCTTCTTGTTGCAACACATGCCTGCTTCGTTGGTCTGGAATACATGCCCCAACTCTGCTTCTCATGAGGTCCTGGGACCATGGCTGACCCCATACTGAGGACCCGGAAGCAGTCACTGTGCCTCCTCTGAGCTTGCTGTTGGGACATCTTACTCTGGACTGTTCCCTGAAGGCAGGGCCTGCCAGTTTACTGCCACTCCCCCACTTTGTGGGGATGAGTGAATGAATAGCAGCTTCCCTAAGAGGAGTGCAGAACATCACTGTTTTGACCATAAGACTCACTGTAATGCATAAGTTCTGATATGCAAGTGAAATGTTTTCACAGAACTGCAGGGTGCCTCTGACATGAGCAGATGAGGGTCCTGCAGCTTCAGAGTTAAGAGCCTTGAAAGTGCAAGCAGCTGCACCGGCAAAAAGTAGAACTCAGGCCTTGGCACATCCTCCTGGTTGCCCCTGCATCTGAGGACAGCCGTGCTTGGTAGAGGCCACAGACCTGGACTTTTGTCCCAGAGGAGGAGCCTGCCAACCTAGGGAGCAGAGCGGAGGGGTAGGGCCCCTTGCAGCCTAAGAGACCACTCCATGAACATGGTGGGAAAACAAGAGGTGGGGACTGCCACTGTTCGATCAGACTTTCAGCTGGTGCTTTACAAGGAGGATGCTGAGGGTTGGAGGCAGGGACGAGAATTGGCACTAAAGAACCCCACAGCTGGTGGTCTCCATGCCTCTCCACAGTTCTCCAGTTCCTCACTGCACCTGCCAATAAAAGCACCCCATCTTGTCCTTCATCCAGGGCTTTTGTTTGTAATCCATTATCCACTATAGACCCCTTGAGGAGCTCTGTGTGTGTGTGTGCGTGTGTGTGTGTGTGTGTCAGACAGACAGAGAATGCAAGGAAGCTGGCTTGGGCAATATCCACAGGACCTGTGATACTAAGAGCTGGGGAACCACCTCTTCAGAGGGCACACTCTATAAATTAGAAAATGCCTCAAATGTGGGGCTTGACAAAGAAACAGAAGAGTAGGGTTTATGCACCAATTTCATAGGCGTTTTATTCTTTGTCATGGCGTGAATGAAGAACTAGTGTAGCGCTCTCACAGGCCCCTCTCTGCTCTTGTCATACAGCCTGCTACAGTTTACTGTAAAGATATCTTCGATATTAAGCAGTTCTCCACGGTGAAAGGAGTCTACCTGGACACTACAGACAATGACTTCTATGCTCAGTTTGTTACAGGGTGTGTCTCCATCCCCTGGCAGAATGAGGTACTGCCCTTTCTAGCATAGCAGGTTTATGTTAGTTCCAACCATAACAAAAAAGACTCTGTGTTTGTGTATGTGTGTGCATGTGTATGTGCACGTGCATGTGTGTGTGTTTGGGAGGTACAATTATGCAAGACTTTTGACCATAGGACTAGACCATGAGCAAGCCAAGGACCTATCAACAACTACCCAGAAGGTGACTATCGTGGGTTTGATAGGGGCTTGCCTGCCACCTGTGTCCCATTCCCTAAGCAGGGCTGGCGGGCACCCAGGTTTCCCACAGTAGTTAACTACTTTGGGGGTGTGCTCAAAGAAAGAAGGGGAGATCACACTACTTGCCCTAAAGAGATTAGGAAGCAGGGAAGTAGGAATCCAAGAGTAGGTTCAGGAGCTCTGAGGACATGGAGCACAAGGTGGGTCGGAGCTGATGGCACCGGGAGATGCTGACTGACCTCACAGCTTCGCCACGGTTTCTCTGTCCTACTCTTCTGTGTGTGCAGATGATTGAATCTGGATGTTTCAAAGATATCAACGAAAATGAGGAAAACGTGCCATTAGATCAAAAAGAGAAAATACGTGGCTCGGTTACCAGACCAAAGAGAGGCTTCTTCTGTAGACTCTTCAGAAGAGGGGTAAACAATATATATATGTATATATATATATATACCAAAAGAAAAAAAATTTGCCAAGATAAAAACATAGTACTTTTATTTTTGCACTGGCTTGTATAAGGAACTTCATATCATTTAAGAGCCATAGAGTGCTATTTAGAACCCAAACAGAACAAGGCTCACCATGACATTTGCTGCTGGGATGAAGACTCTGTTCTGATCCACAAGGAAGTAGTAGGTTACCAACATTCAAACACAGATTCCTGTGTCAATGACAAAGCATTTTAAGCTAGGCTCAGATATCAGTATCTTGTAGCATGATAATCAAACAATACACATTGTTTAACTCTCTGCGTGTTCTGATACTTATAGCTATTATTTCATTAGCTCACTTGTACAAAGAAAGCTGATTCCCTTTTGAAAATGGCGTCATTTGAAGAGACTTTCTGTAGTAGCATTACATTTAGGGAAAAAAAAGTTTTCCGAGTAAACTTTTTCTCCTCAGATTAGTGATTTATCCTGCTTGGTACCCTGTGCATTCTTGGGAAGTTTATTCAGAGATCTGCTAGCATTCTTTTTTTTTTCCCTGCCCCCCTCATCCACTAACATTCTAATCCATCTATTTTTCAATATAAAAAACAAGTCTGGCCGGGCTCAGTGGCTCAGCCTGTAATCCTGCGCCTTTGGGAGGCTGAGGTGAGTGGATTGCCTGAGCCCGCGGGTTCAAGACCCGCCTGGGCAGCGAGACCTCATCTCTATAATAAATCAAAAATTCAGCCGGGTGTGGTAGCGCATGCCTGTAATTCCGGCTACTTGGAAGGCTGAGGTGGAAGGATCGCCGGAGCCCAGCAGGTCGAGGCTGCGGTGGCCGGGAGCGGCCACTGCACTCCAGTCTGGGAGACAGAGTAAAACTCCAACTCAAAAAAAAAAAGTCTGGGCTGGTTGTGACTGTTCATGCCTGTAATCCCAGCTCTTTGGGAGACTGAGGCTGAAGGATTACTTGAGGCCAGGAGTCCAAGACCAGCCTTGGCAACATACAAAAAAAAAACCAAGTAAATAAATAAAAAACAAACCTTACACGGTAAATATCTCTCAAAGTGTCATTTTCCAGGACTAGCTTTCCTCTGAGAACTGGGAGTTAGTGGTGAACTAACCAAAGCACTCTCCCTGTCCTCGGTATGTAGTAAGCCCTGCATGGAAATGTCCCTTCCTGTCCCATGTTCACACTTTGAAGATGGAGCTGTCTGGGATACCTTGTAATTGAGAGGATGTAATTGTACATGGCATTTAGTGAGGGAGCCAGTGAGTCTCGATCCCTTTCTGACTCTGCCACAGTAAATACAAGGAGCAAAACTTACCTGAGACATTTTCTTTTTTTTTGAGTTGGAGTCTCACTCTGTCGCCCAGACTGGAGTGCAGTGGC